AAACACCTGAAGAGTAAGGTGCATTACAGTTCCTGAAAGCATTTCAAGCCCCAGATTTTGATATATATATATATATAAAATGGTTGTAAAAGTCACTAAAGCTCTTCCATACTTTCATAGAATGAGTGAGAGCTTCTTAGAACCCAGCACGTTCAGAAAAGAGTCATAAAAATCTGAAAATTCCATCTCAAAGTCCATTAAATGGGGTCTGCCTCATAAATGAGGAATTTTATTGCAAGGCAAAGATAAAAAATAGAACCCGAAGCGTTAGGACCGTGCTGGTGTGTTGTGCTTGTGTCTGTGAAACATCAGGTAAAAATCAGTGAGGTACCCCTAAAATAAAAGATTCTAGAGTTAGGACAGGGAAGGATGATGCAAATTTTAAAATGAAGTTTTAAGGACAGATGATTTCTTTTCCCTTGAAACGAGTATGGGGTAATTCCCTTGTAATTACATGAGGATGAATTAATTACTTTCTAACAAACTCAAATAAAAACTTGACTACATAATACTGCTTCTCTTGCCTTAATTAAAAATGTCCAGGAGCATTTTCATAATGTGTAGATTCCACCTTCCTCCCCCCAGCTTCCCCAAATGAATTATCTCTATATTTATGCTTTTTTTTACTGGTACAAGGAAATTGGGATTACAGATCCTCCCACTGATGGGGGATCTATTATGGGCTGTTGTGTATGAAGCTGTGCATCAGCACCACACACCAGAGAGGGCTGGAAGTGCCCAACCCTCGTGCAGAGGAAAATCCACAGCTTTCTGCTCATCTGGGCATGGCCCAGCCCCAGGTGCATTCTGCACCTTCCTGATGGTGAGCACATGGAATTCTCTGTGCTCAGCAACCTGTTGTTTTGCCTGCCGTGGGTTTGCCAGGTAGCTGAGTGAGAGCAGGTGAGACAGTTCCCATCTGCAGAGGAGACTCGTAAATCTGCTCAGAATTGCAAAGGAGCTTCACCAACCTCGCTCCCAGCCTTTGTCCATGCATTAAATCCCTGGCTGCAAATTCAGTTTGGAGCCAAGTACTTGCTGAGAAAACCTTGTTTAAAATATGCTGAACAAAGAGTTATGGAATAGGAAAATTTAATAACAGTCCCAAGCTCCTGGAGTTGTGTTTTACTGCAGAATAGCACTTTTGCATCTGCAGAATATAGAGACTCTTAGAATAAGTTTCATTTCTGCAGTTTCTCTGGCATGGCTTTTAATTATATATGTTTTCAATACATGTACATAAAAGACTATAAACGTATTTTATACCCTTGGATAGTGTGTTGGCAGTACTTTTAGATGTGCATTGGTCATTAGTGAAAATAATGTTAATTTTGTGGCAGCACCCTGTGTGTGCTGTTCCTGTCAGTCCTGGCTTCATTGATTACCATCTGTATTATGAGATAGAACAGCAAAGGAATTAATAAAGACTAGAAATTGCTCTACTCTGAGGGTTCATTTGGGATGAAGTTAATTTTTTAGGAAAAAAAAATTACCTGTGCTGAGGCTACAGGGGAGCTATTAATAAGGTATTAATACAAGGCATCTGCATCACCATTAAAACTCAGAGATGGTCCAAAGTCACTCCTGTCTCCATAAATCCAGGCATGAACTGGGTGATGGACTTGTATCTGCTGCTTTAAGAGAGAGAGGTGTTTGGATTTATAGTCCCAGGGGCAGGGCAGTGATGGAGGAAGAAGATTTCATTTCCTTTGAAGTCTAATGAAGTGAATCTCACATAATGGAAGTGATTTTGCCTCTCTCTGAACATGATGAAGTTCTCCAGTAAATGTGTTTGTCTGTTTGTTTTGGGGTGCTCTCTAGCAGTGGGACATGGGGGCAGATACAGACATTTTCTGCTTTACACAGAAATTCCTCTTGCATCTGGATGTTGCTCTGAAGAAGGTCAGCTTTCAAGCATAGGTGTAGCAAATAAAGCTGCAGATGTGGAAAGCAGTTTCATATTTACATTTGTGAGGTTTTTTGAACAGAAAGCACTACTCATTTCTCATATTCATTATGCCCTTCTATCATTCACCTAGATCCTATATAATTATGTGTTTAATGATCTTCACCCTTCACACGAACACAGCTCGCTGAAGCTTGACTCTGGCAGTAAATTATCATTCATGTCTGGTAAAACAGAGGATATTACTTGGGAAAAGTGCTGTGCTATCTGACTTAAGACTTCAGGCTGTGATATAACTTTGTAGTAGGTGATGATGACTTAATCTTAAATTTAAGCAATAAAATTATTTCGGAGAAGTGGCTCTTCCATAGGTCATTTGTTATAATATTTTGATGTTAGAGTGTAAGGACTTCAAAACCTAGAAAAATTATTTTAATTATTTAAATCAGTTTGGATGCTCTTCATAGATTGTAGTAAATGCCACATTTATGTCTTGTCTTTTTATTAAAGAACTAAAAAAATTTTAAATTGCCACTATAAATCTTTGTGTAAAAAACTGATCTTCCACTCATCAGACTTAGTTTCAGCTTTAATATTATAAAATGCTACTATCTCTTGTACTCTGTTTAATGTTTAGCCCTTCATTTTATAGTGTTTCAAATATCAATATTTGAATAGCATATTGCAATTTTTGCGTTTGATACAATGGAATTTAACTTATTAGAGGAAATGATTAATGGTAATCATAGCCATTTTGATCATTTTAACTGTTGGTATCTCACTAGAACTGCAAAGGTTTTATAGCTCTGCATTAATATTTACCAGAACTGATTTATGAATCATAACTGCTATTGGATATTATGGGTAAAACCCGAGATTACACAGACAGCCTCTTACTTATTAACAAATAGCAAATTCGAGAATGTTTGAGCCTTCTCGAATGTCTGTGTGGGATACCTGTTTTTTTCTTAAAAGTTCAGATTATACCTTTTTGTTGTGTGGCTGGGTGAGCTGAGATGTTCCCAGTTGCTCTGCTGAGCTGTGGGTGCCCAGACAATGCTGTGATATTACATCACTAACTCTGCTGCCAAAACCTTTGAATGCAATGTTAATGCCATATAGGTTTTATTCAGGGAGCAAACAGATGCTTACATGGTAAACAATCTGTCTAAAACACAGAGTCTGGATTGATTTTTACAGGCTCTGGGGCCCTGAAAATAAGAGTGGTAAGGACAATAATCTTAAAGGCTACAGGAGTTGTGTTAGCTTTCTGAGCAGACCAGACTGTGACACCAACCAGGAGGAGAGGGCAGTGGCTCAGTAAATGAGGAGCTGATGGCAGGTGCAAAAAGAAAAAAAAGATTGAACTTTTGGAGAAGGGACTGAGCTGTCACTTGACATCTCTGTGTACGTTCCTGTGGGCTGGGTAGGAAGAGTGAACTGGATTGAGTCATCCACACTCACAGCTAAAGTGCTTTGGAAAAGCTGTTAAAACAATGGTGGTGTAATAAAATGCTGCCCAGCGAAACAGAGAGGAGGAGTTTGCACCTCGTGTGGTTCGTGGGAGTTCTGCCATTATTGCCGAGCAGGGAATGCACTGGTGGCCAGGATTTTGTGTTTGCAACAAACCAGATCAGCTGGGAAATCAGCCCTGGCTGCTGCAGTCCACTGCGCCCATTGCAACAAACGGAGCTTTGAGCTTTCCCAGCTCTTGAACAGCTGAATTCCTGAGCAGGTGAGGTGGAGGTACAGCTGTTTGTGACCAGTTCTGGACAGAAGGACCTGCAGGGCCACTAGTGACATAACAATCTCCCTGTGGTTTGGCTGGAGCTGGTGTTACAAGGCCTTTTTCCACACCTGCTTTAATATCCTAATGCAAGTTCTTATATTAAATGATGGTGCTGCCTGGCCCTGGCAACCCCTGCCATCAATTGAGAGTAAAATGCATAACCAGCAACAACTTCTGTTGAGCTGTGTGCACAAAATGAGCAAACAGGAAAAAGTCTTTAGCACTGGTTGTAACTCATGTTGCAACCTAAGCAAGTGGTACATATTTCCTTCAGACTGTCCTTTGTGAGGCAAAGATAAATAATAATAGATGCAAGCTACATTTTTAATGACGTTATTCACTTCTTATTGATCATGTTGAGTATGTAGGACCTAACAGTAAACAGAATTTAAACCCCTATAAGTGTGCATTCAAGTTATTATCCTATATTTTTGAATGTGTTGACAGTGATACATATGATCCAACCAATTCACACTCTCACAACTTAAAAATTATTGACGATAATGTGATATTTAGTATTTGGCTCTAAGCCTACAAAAAATCAATAGAAACTCCTTTGGCCCCAGGTTTGTAACAGATAAAAAAATTCTGAAAAAGAATATATTTCTCATACTGCTTCAGTATTATAATCCTTTCTTATTTTTTGAAAAGCCAAATACAAATTTAATACAATTTTTTGTCTGATGGGGCTTTGAGGAGAATGGGAAGATGTATGCAAGGGTTCTTCTACCAGGGCACATTCTTTTAGAATAAAGATCTTAGAACCTTTTAAATTCTGCAAAGGTCTGAGTTGTGATAGAGTTGTTAATTACTGTGGCTGCTATCTGTGACAAGATTCCATAGATGCCAGTGTTCAACTATTTCCAGTCACCTGGAAATAAGATGAAAGTAATAACTAAAAATAAGAAGTTAGATTAAAACATATGTTATGGTTAACCCTTCCCTCACCCTTTGATCTAATAGTTAAGGACATTTTGTACTTGTTAATTTGGGCTGATAATGGTTCTGAAGGCATTTACATTTCAGAATGGGGATTTAAAATATATATAACAGCTGCTTTTTAAATAGAAAGTCTAATTATGCCGATGATTGCATCCATTTTTGATTAGTATGCATACAAATCCCTGCTCTCCATGTGTATTCAAGCTGAGCTATGGATCACTGGTGCTGGGATTGAAGCACAAAGGAACAGCTGACAAAATGTATAGTTAGACCAAAGCAAAAAAAAACCCAAACCCTGAAATTGTGTGTGTACATTTTTTTGTCTCTAAAATGCCTTTTATTTTTTCTTTTTTCCCCTTTTAGCTGCACACAGACCTGGACCCTGGCAGCAGCAAAATCAAGTATATTCTGTCAGGGGATGGAGCTGGGACCATCTTTGTCATCAACGACAAGACCGGAGACATCCACGCCATGAAAAGGCTGGACCGGGAGGAGAAGGCTGAGTACACTCTCACAGCCCAGGCAGTGGACAGGGACACAAACCAGCCCCTGGAGCCCCCCTCAGAATTCATCATCAAGGTTCAGGACATCAATGACAACGCCCCCGAGTTTGTAGAGGGTCCCTACCACGCCACGGTGCCAGAAATGTCTCTTGTGGGTACGTATGCCTGAGCAGCCCAGGCTCTCCTTGCTCACAGCTTTGCCAGGAGGCTGTTGAGTTGGTGATGGATAATAAGGTATTTATTATGTTGTTAGCATTCATTTGCATATTTTCAAATCTTTTCTTGGCTGAAGCTTTATTCTGCAGCACAATAGCCGTGTCCCTCAGTAGTAAGGAAATGACTAACAGCTGTATTAATGTGTCTTTGTCCAACAACACTTTAATGGGCTAAATTTATATTTCCCTTCTGACACTGCAGTTAGAGTATTGTTATTGAGAAGGATTTATCAAGATTTGCTCCAGCATGACGCTCTCATCCTATTGATATTTTGTTGATGTTTAATTATCTGTTTGTTGTTTTCCTACTCTTGCAGGGCATTGATACATACTTATTTGTTTTTCTCTAAGTGCAACTGTAATCAGGGAAAAACATTGAAATGAAAGATGCTGTGTCTGGGAATTGATGGTTAGGCTGTAGAGTGGACTTAACCAATTAGCCACAGGATTTGCATGGATGATGGAAGGGAAAAGCAGAGAAAGCTGTGGAAAAAGACGGTGAAAAGGGAAATTAACTGTGAGAAAGGAGAAAGGAGAAGAACATAATCTTCTTAATATATTTTACTTATATTTATTCATTTTGTTGGATTACTGTGAATCTATTTTCTCATGGATTAATATATTAGAATCTTTTCTACATAGTTTGTCCCTGTGTTTGCAAGTGAATGTCCTTACAGAGGCAGATGTTGACACTCCCCATGACACACATCGAGTGCAGCTCATCTGGAGCCAAAGGGAAGCAAACCCACCAAACCAAGAGAATCCATTTCAGTGCAATATAAGAATTCAGCATAAGCAATGGCATCAAAATCTGGCCATGAAAGGCAAAGGAAATTCTAGTGCATTCTAGTGTTAGGTTGAGGATAATGTGCTTTTCAGTGATTTGTCTATGTCTGTCAAAGCAAGGTAATTGAAGGAGTGCCAAGGCTCTCTGTGAAATAAAGCAGCATCCTATCACAAAGTTTCAAAAGCACCACTCACCCTCTCTTCTTTAGCTAAAAGGAGGAGGAATGTGAGGAGCCAGAAGCATCCTCTCACTCACAGCACAGAGAATTACACCGGGCCATTGTCAAAACACAAGGGTGATGTGCTGACTGCATGGTCACACCTGAGGCTTCATCTTCTAAATCAGCTCTCCCCCAACACAATTTCATGTCTTCGTTGTGCTGAATTGCTTGTGCCAAAAATGATCCGTGAATTTTTGAGCCTGCATTTCAGTTCTTTTACTAAACCATAGCTTTTATGTGTTGAGTTACTTTTAATTATACAGCAGCACAAATGTAATATGGACCTGCTTTCAAAAGATATTTCAGCCAAGCTCTAGGTGAGCAAATGACTTAATTAAATAAAATGAGAATAAAGAAGCCAAACCAAACCTAACCAAAACAGTGTGGGAGAAGGAGGAAGGCAAATTGAATGCTGTCATTCCTTATGTAAATGGGATTTATGTAGTATTCTAGGAGAAAAAAGAGAAAGATATATGCAAGAAAAGAAAAAATGATTTCCGATCACAAAGCCAACTATAAAAATAATTTATATCTGTATATATTTATAATCTATGACAAAGACATGGCCCATATCCAAGCAGTATTCACTGTAAAAGAGAAAAAAAACCCAAAAAATCCTGAAAACTTTGAGAGGAAACTAATCAGGAGATGATTAAAAATCTAGTAAATTGTTAATGTGAGGTTTAAAAGATTGTAAATGCAATGAGAGGAAGGGAATAAAAGAGAAAAAATATGAAATATTAGTGAAAGAGAGGTAAAGTAAAAATGGAGAAAGAGTGAAAGAGGAGAGAAAACTGTGAAGAAAGGTAATGAGAGATGAATTATAAGTTAAAACTTCATTAGGAAATCTTTGTTACAGAGGATTGTGGCAGAAATGACCAATGGCTGGATGTAGTTTAGCAAATAGTGACAGGGCTGGATCCACAGGGAAATGTTTCATCTGTTCCCCAGGCATGCTGGGGAAAAGAAAGACACCAAACTGCCTCAGAAATGACAAAGTTCCACATTCTTACAGTTTGTTAGGCTGCATGGAAGAGTTCTGTCCAAAAGCAAGTGTGTTCTACCAACAAAAAATGGCTGTTACCATTGCTAAAACAACCTCTATGGCAGAGATTTGCTATAGATCATCTGACAGGTCTGAGGTCTATTACTGTAACTCTGAGAGTTTTGCACATTTATCCCTTAGGATCCCTGGCCCTTCCATGTGTTTTACAGGACATTCCTAGGGGTTTCTGAGGTTTCCAAGCTGCTGCTCTACAGAAGCACCAACGTGCACTCCTGCTCTTTGTTGAAAAACAAAATCTATTTCTCTGCTGTTCCTCCAGAACTCAGAGAATGTTCCTGATTGCATTACATGGGACCTGAAGGAGTGTAGAGCCTCTGAAGCAGAGGCAGTGGAGTCTGTGTCTTGATCTCTGATGGAACCAAATGTCAAGCCTGGAAAGTGGAAGAAGAGAGTGTTACCCTTTATTAATGTTGCTGTTACTATTTGCTTCTGCTTTCTTCTCTTGACCCACAGGTAGCAACTTCAAGACATGAAGGAAGTGATTCTCTGTAAATTATTTCAAGTTTTTTGAAATTTTTTTAAATCTTCTTAAAATTACATTAACTCTTCTGTAATGTTTGTAAGAAAATTGTCTCCTTTAATAGTTCAAGGAACTTTTATTATTTCCCCCCCACTAAGAGTATTTCACTTCCATTATCCACTCACTTAATTCCCTTAAAGAGATCTCCACCCACTGCCAATTTCAGCCTTGACTTTTGTACAACACAGGCATCACTAGGCAGTGTTCTTACTCAGGATAAAACAAAGTTCTCCTGAACCTTTTCTTTCCTCAAAATGCTTATATCAATTTTCTGCTCTGAAACAGAAGAGGAACTCATATGCTTTCTATATATAGTACTTATGTAATGAGGATGCAGTACAAGGCATTTTATTTTTGGGCCTCAAGGGAAGGCAATGCATGAAATACAGATGAAGGCTTTAACCTTTCATTGTTCTAAGGTTCTAACACGATGCAGTTTTTCTAATAGGCACCTTAGACCTGGTCTTATGTTCCTGGCTAGAAGAGCAGCATTACAGGAATGCCAGGTGTTATTCTGACTATCTGGAACTGGAATGAAACATTATGGGGATGTGAAAACTGGCTTAAATATTGACAGAGAGCAGGTTTAGATTAGAGATGAGGAAGGAATTGTTCCCTGGCAGGGTGGGCAGGGCTGGCACAGGGTGCCCAGAGCAGCTGTGGCTGCCCCTGGATCCCTGGCAGTGCCCAAGGCCAGGCTGGACATTGGGACAGTGGGAGGGGTCCCTGCCATGGCTGGGTGGGATGGGTGAGCTTTGGGGTCCCTTCCAGCCCAGTTCTGGGATTGTGTCCCTGCCTGCAGTGTGTGCCAGGCCCTGTGTGTGTGCAGCATCCGAGAGCCGCACGCGGCCACGGCGTCCCCTGCTCGGTTTTTATTCTGTGTTTATTTGGTGCTCTCTGGAAAATCCTTCTTCTGTGCTGGAACCAGGGGCTCTGCATGGCTCAGAGGATCAGTGCTAGCCGGAGCTCTCTCTGGGAGAGCTGCTCACTTCTCAGCCGTCTCCTCAGCGCGCACTCCCACGCGCGCTCGCTGCCGGCCGCGCCACTGTGCTCGCACTTATTCTGAAATAATTTCTTTCTCTCTCGGAGCAAAGAGACCAGCACATTCCAGAAAAAAAAGTTTTGAGAACTACATTAATTTTCTTTTTTTTTACTGTAATTCCCACATAATCTGCCGTAATAAGCCTTGCTCCCCACCTCCAAAAAGACGAATTTGCTTGTGAAAGCTAATGGTGTATATGGAGATGTTCTTTGCTGAAACTGTGCACTTTAATCTTTTAATTATGATATTAATTTTCTTAAAGAATTAAAGATCAAAAAGTGAAATCTGTGGAATTACTTCATTATAGCAAGTATTACAAATAGGAAATAATTTAATTTTTCTGTAAATCTTGTTTAATCACTTTTAAACATAAAAGGGCACACTGGTGTAGAAACTCAGTTAATACCTTAAAAAAAAAAAAAAAGATTTATCTGTGCTTCTGAGAGTAAGAACCCCAAGACTATTTTTTTCCTCTGCCCATTTGTCTATGAGCTCTGCATCTATGCCTGCAATGAAGATAGAATATTACGTAATGAATGAGTAAGCTTAGAAGATCCATAAGGGTAATTGGAACCAGTTGTGTAGCTTATTTAAAGAAGAAAAGAAAGAAAAGAGGAAAGAGAAACCCCACACCCTCCCTTGAGTATGTTCTGTTTCTGTGTTACCTTCTCAGCTACACACATATTCGCTAATTCCCCAAAACACATGCAGAGGTGGCAATGGGAGCCAAAGTGGATATTTGTCTCCTGACAGCAGAGTTTTAGGATCCCTTTTTCAGGATAGGAATGAGGATTGAAATCTCTTCATTTTGCTCTGAGTGAAGCCAGGAGTGTTTAGACAGCGAGTGTCATGTTGAGGGACAGGAGGCAACTGAAGCAGAGTGAAAAAGGTGTTGGTGAAATCAAAAAGGACACAGATGGAAAAAGAACTAAAGCCATAAGGGAAGAGAATTCTCTCAGAGTTTGCCTGAATTAAGGTAAACAGACAAACTTTAATAATCTCCAAATATTAAGGCTTCTCCTGACAGTCATAAAAAAAATTAAGTACATACAGTGGAATTAGGTCTAAAATTGCTCTAGAAATGCTTTTGCCTTTGCCACTTGAAAATAGTAACAATGTGAAAAAGCTTAGAATAATAATATTTTTTGTTCTTAAATGCTTCCATGAAAGGCATTTACTGGAAAGGGTTTAGGCTTTCAGTTGAGTCAGAATATCAATTTTCAGTTTTGGCACAAGCACATCTACTTAGGAATGTTTTCCCTTGAATCAAGGTTTTCCCTTGAATTGAGGTTTGCCCTTGATTAC